TTTACTTGCTGTAGTTTCTCCCCATGATTACTGTTTAGTGTTTTATTTGTTTAATTATCGTTATATTTAGCAATTGTACTTTAGCAATGTCCAAAGACTTATGTAAATTCATTTTATTTTGCTTTAGATACTGAAGATGGAATCTGATAGAATTCCGAAACATTCATCTATGTCCCCTTCTTTTTAATAAACAATGTTGTATATCATAAGCTATCTTATAGTTTTTAGAGTAAACTAATAACAATAGTGTAAGAAAATAAACTTATTACAAAATCATAAATCTTAAAATTTAGTGATAAGATTATTCTATGTGATTAAAAGTTTGTATGTAATTACTGTTTAATAACAAAATGTACTATTTTGTCTTCCTAATTTACCATCATATCCATCTTTGTTTAAATCTTCTGCACCTGACAAGGCCAAACCAAAAGCAGACTGTAGCATTCCCGTTAATTTAACTGGCTTTGTGTCTTCTTTAAACTCCTAAAAGGAAATAAAAATACAGACTTTCCATTCAATGACCTGCCCAAAAATTAATTAATTAACCAATAATATCTTTGTTAGATATAACAAGTTTGAATGTGATTGGTCTTCAATATGTTACCCATTAAAATAATTTATTTGATAATAATTACATTAAGGAAATTTTACTTAGCTTGCAAGGATTCAAATGCACTGAGATTATATGCACTTAAATAAAGCAGATATGGTTTCCAAGAATTAAACTGTAAACAGAGAGACCGTAGAGAACTATGAGTCTGTTTTTTTTCTCTTAGGATAAAAAAATATTTTTGTTAAAAAAAATTCAAATCTTGGAGAGAAAAAGAGCTAACTATGGAGTCTGTAATTAAACTGAGTTAGTGTATAGTAATAAACAATCTACGAAACAACTGGAGAAAAATTCAAAGTAAGGCCTATGAACTGTTTCTTATTTACATCTACAGTAATCTCAATGCTGAGTATAACTTTCATCGTTAATTACAAATATAAAAAATTACTATGTGTATGCAATCTACTGATGCACAGACTTTGTGATACTGTAAATGTTTCTGATGCAAAATGAAATATTTTGTTTTTAAGTTTCATTCTAGTCAGTATTTATCTTTGATAAATTTATCAGTCAAACAACAATAAATATGAAAAGTAATATTTCATACTATATTTTTTAAAAGATTCCAAAAAGTTTTTTTTATTCACCATGAACTCGAATTTGAATATTTTGTAGGAAGGCATAAAATGACCGAGTCTGTACAACTAGTTCTTTGTAAATTATAAATTTTTAAGTCTTCATTTTCATTAAAATAAAATCAGCAACATATTCAAACATTTCTTCTGTATAATGACAGAATAACAAAACTTTTAAGCCAATTACTGTAAGATGAATATAATTTCAATGTTAAAAGACTATTATCATTATATGCATTAGCACACATATTACAAGCTAATGAGAAAATTTTGTAAATCTCACACAAAAATGTGTAAGCATTAATCTATGCTATTCACATGTATGTATCTTTTCAATATATTCATTTTACACTAATATGTAAAGTATAGAGTACTGGGTCTAAAATATTTCACATATTCACACCCACTATGGTGCTCAAGTGGAAAAATATTAATGATGTCAAGCATGAGTGAACCTGTACCTCAATAGAATACATGATGATACTTTAATATGTAATAACATCACTGTAAACTGTGCTGTGCCACATGAACCAACTGCACTATATTAGGCATGCAACATAAAATACCCAATAATATATATTCCCCTAATTAACCAATATTACATTTAGCTCAGGTTAATTGAAGTGAGCGTGACTTTTGTCAGTATGTATCAATATGACTACCCTCACTTTTTATAAGGCAACCTATGACAAGGATGATATGCAGTTAAATAAAACATTGACTATTGTACGAAGGGGAATTTTGTAAATAAGAATCCAATTCAAAGCAAGTTTGGCTAGAAATGAATGACTGAATAATCTTATCATAAATGCACATTAAACACAAAACATTCAGAATGTAAAGTGAGTGCAAAAATACAATTTTCAAAAACAGAAATGAATAAACATTGTTACAGAAATAGTTAGTCTTGCCAAGCTACCACTGATGAATAAAGTATACAAACACTTTTCAATGCTTTCTTTGTTCATGGCTCTATGTTTTATGTACATTGAAATATACTTACTCATGTAACTAGCATCCTGTTCATAGTATTGTGCTTTATAATTTATAGAAAACAGATTTATTCAAACATAGATATGCATTCTGCTTGCTTAGGAGAAAATAACAAGAGAAAAAAAACACAAATTTCAAATAAGAGTCAAAGTGAGCATTAACATACATTCTCTGTATTGATGTAAATATACACAGCTCCTCCTTCTGTTTCACTGAAATAGAATGGAGCTCCAACAGCTAGATCCAGAGCTCTGTACAAATAAGGAACACTTGATTTCTTATAACAAGCTACTAACAATTTCTTTTTCTTAACTTACTCTGCTGACCTAGAACTACTAGATTAGGCAAGGAGAATGATTGATCTATTAAAATGTCACTCACTATTGCTAGTTGCAGTACAGATTATTAAGAAAGTTTAGTAACAGGTGTAGGAGAAATCTGCACTGACTCATTATGGGAATGCTGCTAAGTAAAAGCCAAAATGCTTTAGGGTGAAAGAAAATCTGTCTAAGATGTTATATAGCAATGGAGGAAATTTTACTATCCAACCCTGTTCACTATTTCATTACAAAGTATATCATCATATATAACAACCAAGATTCAAGTTAACCTATATGTATAGTCAACACTAATTTTAATCTCGGGGGCTTTTGTCTTGTGTCATTTTTGAACTCAGTTTAATTATACATATTTCTGATAATAAAGCTAAAGTTGCTTATAAAGTTCATGGCATAGAAAAGGCTTATTCCAAAAGTACTCAATTTTGTAAAACTTGGATGTATTTCATATATCTTCATTAACTATTATTTTATCTGAATTCTGTTTGTATTATTTCTTATTAATATCAACTTATACCACAGATAATTGTTTTATCAATCACACACTTTCCATAATGAAATATTTTTTATTAAATGATTCTTCATGTTCTTATATGCTACAGTGCCAAATTAAATAACAAATTTCGTTTTTATACATATTTTTGAAAATGCTGAATGTTTTAATGTATCATAAAATTCAGATATATATAAACAATTTAAATTTTGTTTAGTCATTTGCTCCACCCACATAACTTATAACTTAAAATTACTCAATATGCATTTTATTTCAATTTAGATAATGGTGTAATTTTTCAAAGTATTCCAACGTGAATAAAATGTGGAAAAATGTATACTAACTTGGTTTTGGTAGAAATAGTTTTATGCCAAATTGACAAAATTATATATGTTACTCTGATAGTAATTGTTTCTCCCAACTTGTCATATTGATTTCAGTATTTTTATGACTCTTATATCATACCTTGTACACTGTTTATTTATAATGAAAACTTAACTTTTTATTATTAATATCATTACAAAGTTTTTAAGCTGCATGTAACAATTTTAATAAAAGCATAGATTTTTAGAAAAATAAATCAGTTTGTTTAAAACTGCTTTATTTTAGCTAAAACAATAATATTATACACACAACAAAAGTTGAATGTCTCTGCTATTACATATCACAGTCTTGTTTTGTTTGTAACTAAACCCACAAAGGCTATCTAGGAAGATTTACTGTCTCCTTTCAAGCCTAATTTTCACTAATTTTTAACAGGTAGTCACTATCTTCTTTCCCTTCAAGAAATCATGTATCAGAATGTCAATGTTCTAGTTTTTAGGCTTAACAGTTCAGTGACATTATTCAACAACAAATATTTTTCTATGTTGTTTCCATAACCTGATAAAATTAGGCTTATGGGACAGGCCAGCCAAGAAGGCTGACATCACCTACACATATACTTGTAAAGGTCACATTAAGACTTTGAGATGTCCATTCTACAAATTCTCATTGGATGGAAGATGGTTATTTATCAGAATAACTCAGAGACTGAAAATATTTCTCATTTTGTTGCCTTCGCTTTGTTACGGAACCAATAAATGTTAGGTTTTGGAAATGCAAATTGTACTTAAATACCCTCATTTGTATACTTCTGTATTTACATCTGACAGACCAGCATAAAATGACAACAAGCTCACTGACTCAGTTTGTACTTCTAAGCTGGTTTTATAAATCTTATAATGTCTCTTGTATAATAAATATCCAAGAGAATCTTGACCCAAAACAATTCAAGGATCATTATTTTTAAATTACTGGTTCTGAATAATGCACTAAGTGATGAAAATGGCAGTGCTGTGTCGTGTTAGTCATCATGTCCACAGAACTTACCATTATATCTAATAAAAGATCTGAAATGTTGAGGTACACAAATGTTGATCAATGTTCTATGTAAAGTTGATCTGACAAGAACTGGTAGCAATTTTCACTGTTGAAAAGTCAGTTCAAGTATTAAAATAAGCTGCATGTTTTGAAGGGTTTTTTTTTATCAGCTCACTGCCACATAATTCACATCTACCATCTCTATTTTCTGAAAAAAAATATTCCTAAAAAACTAATAAATATTTTGATTGACAGAGCCATTCTTCTGCTTGACTACAAAAAAGCATTATTATAGAACAATCTACTCTTTAAACCACTTTTCAATGATGTGATGGATGAGCTTTGTTCTTTGAAAGTTATGAAAAATATGATTTGTTCAGTATCTGCTCATATACAATAGGGGAATATAATGTCTAGGTAAGCATCAATTTGTCCTTTAGGTGAAAATGCTTGCAGAATGTTTTTAACAATTGTTTGTATTATTGTTAAGAGTAAAGCTACACTATGGGCTATCTGGGCTATACCCACTATGAGTATCTACACCCAGTTTTTAGCAGTGTGAGCAGGGCTTAAGTTGTGTAAAGTTATCAAGTGAAGCTCAGTTTCACAGCCCCTATGAGGTTGAGGAGTGGGGGGTTAAACAGTCTCTTATTTCAATTATTTGATGACATCACAATGCATGTTGACACTGAAAAGTAACTCAAATGTAGAAAAATGACATGTCGCAAAGTAGGCCTACAATGAAGTAGGCCTGTAAAAACTATATGACTTGGTAAGATTGTGATAACTTTTGTTTAAATTCATGTATGTTCTTGGAAATTATACAACAGGAACATAAAAATTTCTAATAACAGGAGCATTTTCACAACAATTTCTTACAATAGGAATGGTACTCCGGTTCACTCTCCCACAACTCAAGCCCTAGGTGTGAGCCCTTGGACTTACCCCTGAGCCACTGGAGAGCATTTTTAACTGAACCAGCCTGAGTGGACCTTTGAGGTAAAAGAAAATTATTTAAAGCTCTGGATATAACTGTGATAACCCATGGGATAACATAAGTGAATTTATCACTGACTGTATTACGATAACAAATAATGAAGAATAATTCATCTTGTCAATTGAGTTCTAAAGTAACTGAACCAGTCTGTGTGGACTCTTGACAAAGTTGATTATTTAAAGCTCTGGATACAACTGTGTATATTAATTGTGTAACAAACATTTGTAAATACATTTGACTTTTTTGAATACATCACTTTAAAACAATTTAATTGTGTGCTGTCCGTTCAGTGTTGAAATTTATTGCCAACAAGTCACAGACGCTGATTATAAAGAACCATGGCCTCATAAAACCTGACAACTGGTAACCAAAATGTTGTAGAAAAATTATTTTCAAAAATTAACTATTATAAGCTGTATTTCCTTTTAACATACAATTGTATTTCTGTGAATTATAAAATACCTTGTGTGCAGAGTGAAGGCAGACTACCATAAAAACACAGTAGGTACAAAAGGGGGTGTCTTCAACTGGTAGTAATAAATAGTAATAACAGTCACAGGCTACTTGCTGATGTCATGAACTGCATTAGGCAATTTAAATGGTCACCAAATTCTGTGGAAATGTGGCTATAGTGTGAAGTTAACCCTGAAAACATGTATCTGGTACAGAGTCCTAGATAAATTCTTTTAGCAGTCATTCCCATAATGTTTAAAAATGTGTCTAAGACTTTATTAAACCACATAAAGTTATATGTCATGATTACACAACCATAAGAATATGTAAATAAAATATTTTTCACATTTATTATTTAATATTTGTTCTGATAGATTAAGACTGCAATACTTTCAGCAGTTAAAATGTTTTCATTCAAATTAAAGAATGTAAGTTTTAAAAGAGATACAAGTTAAGGAATGGAATAATTTATAAAATTTTTTCAAAGATAGCATGTATAATAATTACAATAAAAAAATTTAAGAAAAGACACAACTTTATATTATAAGTGATATTAAAGCACAGTTGTTTCTATTACACAGAAAACATGGATATATAGGTTACAACTATAACCAAAATTTAAACACGCTAAATGAAAAAAAATATTGAACTCGAGCTATTTCCCTGATGAAGTTAAAAACATTAGGCTTGACGTTAAATAATTATGTGAGCCCCCCAAAGAGAGAGAGACACTTTTATATGTTCCTTTATTCTTTTTTCCAGTAATTACAATTGTGCACAACTCCTTCATTTCTAGGCCAATTGTCTAGAAATGTATAGGGCATATAGTTTTCATTTTTTTGATTTAGGTCTCCAGTTCAATTTCAGGAGCTACAGACCAAACACTACAAAATCACACATATTGGCCTGTGGTTCCCTTATATTTCCATCAACCCAAAATTAGATTTGCTACAAAGATATGCAAACCCCAGAAACTAAACATGCAGTTTTGTAATTTGCTAATTTGAAAAGTTAGGGTGTTAGGTCTTACCATGCCTTTATATTTTGATCAGTCTAGAAACGACTTTGCACAACAACACCTTGCAACAGCTCCAAAAGACATAAAAAAAATGTATATTTTGTATTTGTGCCTTTCTTGAAATCTTACAAGGACAAAGGTCAAAATATTTTACAGAATTGGGGTTTTTAGCTAGCCATTCCTTTATATTTTGACCAATCTAGGTGAGACTAAATCCAAAGATACCTTGTACCTTTATTTCGATTTTAAAGGGATCAAAGTTCAAAAATACTTGCAATGTATGAATAGAGAATTCTGAACCTATAGACATTGTGCATATGTAAATATTACATTGGGTTGTTATTAATAGTATCTTTATTCACATAATGAATGAAACTGCATATATTGTGTCAAATAACAGTTCTTACTTGCAGAAACTGACTGTGCTATGTATTATAAGATTACAATTTACTATGCTCAAAAATATCTTTCTCACAAAGAAATCTCAGGTTGACATTGTGTTAACTATATATCCCTCTGAAGTATATATATTGTGATTAATATCCCCTTCACTGCCTTGAATATACCATTCTCTCTTGAAATCTACTGCATTCTAAGGATTTTATTGAATAAGGTGGATGGGGGAAGGCATATTGTATTGGCTGGAAAATGTCAATCTTTCTAGTTAAAAATTGTTTTCACTTTGAGCTAATGTTGTTTTTATCTTTAAATGATTAACATTCTTCAAAGTTCTCGTAATATAAAACTTATTTATTTATTTTTTTGAGATAATAGTATTATGATAATGTCAAATATTGTTCCTACTAGTCATAAAAGCAAGAATCTTTAGAATTTATAACAAATTAACATGAAAAAAAAGTCTGGTATTCATAAGTTTTTGATAAAGAAAGAAAAGGCTTAAGTTGAAACTATAATTCAAAATATTTGCAATCAATCAAATCAACAGAGTATAACAGAAACAATTATAATTAAGATATGAAATTTGTTTACAATCTTTAATAAATCTATTCAAAGTACAGTATATATAAATGTGACAGCTTTTTCCCATTTAAAAAAAACAACTTAGAAACTGCTTTCTATATAAATAAAATTGAAGGAAGACAAAAATATGTTTGGTATTTTCTAAACTAAAACAGAAAAGTCTCATTACATAAAACATAAATGCAAATTTTATGTTTACCCATAATGAATTAAAATAACACTTTAAATGTCAAAATTACTGATTATCTAGAGTTGTAAAAGTTAGATAACTGAACCTCTTGATATACAATATCATGAAAGTGAACCTTACCCATCTCCATTGATATCTAAAGATGCCATTGCATAACCAAAAGATGATAAAAACTGTTCCCCATCTAATACACGTTCAACTAAAAAGTAATTATTAGTATTTTTCTTAAAGAACACCACTTGGCCTGTTCCATTAGATCGTGGGGCTCCTCCTACAAAACTAATGTGATTTCCAAAGAACCTTCCTCCTGTAACTGACATTCCTAGAGAAAAATACAACAAAATGACTAATGTGTAGTGAAACTTCATTACTGAAAGAAAAAAAGATTGTTACAAAAAATTAAAAGTTAATTACATGGTCAACCCTCAAAATACAAAAGTGAAAGTAAAATATTACAAAGTATTAAATCCACAATTTCCACAACACTGAACTACCTAACTGCATATGTATTATTCAGCTAATGGTATCCATTAAAATATTAGTGTACTTTTAATATAAAAATAAAGGCTTGTTTAAAAATGACTGTTTAATACGAAAAACAGTAAACAAAAATAACTTTAGCAATATTTTCCTTCGTACTGCGGGAACAAACTACGAGACACAATTTTTATTTATGTTGTACAGTTTGAAAAAAACAATTGCCCACCACCTTTGGTACTGTTATGACTTAACTAAATAACTAAGTAAAACAAATATATTTTATGTACAACACTTTATTTATTTATTTACTAACATAGCATTATGTGTTTGGGTACATGTTTAATATTTTATCTATAAATTATGGGCAACTAATATCTCACAAGAATGTATTGCCTATTTATACTATTATTTCAATGGGAAAATAAATTTCTGTTTATGTTATTTCACCTAAATTCGTTTTTTAGGGACATATCCCCAATGTAAATAGAGGAGTTACTGTAGTCAAGAAACACTCCATAATCAGGGTTCTAGTTAACCCAAACTCCCGGGTCCTGTACACACGAGAATATGTTGGGGAGCATGAGATTTGATCCCCGGGGTACCAAATATGCACAGAAAAATGTCACATATGCAAGGCAGTTTTCAGATATAATAACACATCATAAAGATGTTTTTTTAGTGTTGTTATTCAGGACAGTTTTTCCAACAAAACTTTATACCTTCATTTCTCATTGTTATTTGGAACTTGAGTACTCATTTAAAACAATGCATCATTAATAAATAAAGAAACAGTTTCAAAACAGAGATATGAAATAGAAAAACAATCTTTACAATAACTTGAATGAAAAAAAATTGTGTTTGATCCAGCTAGATGAAAAATTGTGCACATACATTATGTGTAGATATGCATAGAGAAAGAAAGATTCATACACATACATACAAGTTTTTAGTAAGTTGTTTAATTTCGATTAAATCTATATAAATATAAAAATAGCAAATTTGTGTGTTTTATTAATCAAAGTCATCACACAATTTTGGGATTATTTTTTATCAGGCTTTTACCAACACCAACACCAAAAAAGTGTATTTTAGTTTGTACTTGATGATAAAGTTATCAAACTAATTCATTCTGAGACATACTTTTACCTAGTAGATTTAGAGAAATAACCTTTTAAAAGATGCTTGATACTATTAATTTCATATAATATACAAATCTCTAAACCTAAGGCTTTCATAATTAGGATGCATTAATACAATGTGCATATGTAATAAAATCAGATATAGTTAAATCTCTATCTAAATATTTTGCATCTTCATACCAAAAGTTCTTTATGTCATTCAAGTGAATACTTACCAAGGTAGCTGTATTTCTTTACTGGAGAAGATGCATCTACTTCACCTCTATACCAAGTTATATCATCCATAATTCCAAAACGAACATTATTAACAAACAAGGTTCCTTTCCATGTATATGGTCCTGGTGTACCAATTGCTACATTGTTGTCCTTCATGAAAATAAGATCAACTTTAAAATGGAGGTAATCTTAAAAATTAATTTTAAAATGTAAATAGTTTCATTTCTTGACTTACTTAACTTAGCTTTAGAAAGCAACTGTTCTTTAAGTGAAACTTAAAAAACTGTAAAATAAAATAATAAAAAATAACTTACAAACTAGTACCACAACAACGATACTGAATCAGTATCGACTAAGAAACAGAAGCCTCACAAACTATAAACATTTTATGCTTTTGACATGAAGATCAAGTAGAAATATAATAAAAAAATGAAATTGGTGAAATAAGTTGAACCAAGGTCTACATGAAACACAAACTGAGCTTAGAATTTAAACTTCTAAAAAATGTACCTCGGTGATATATGCACTGACTCCGGCTTGACAGTAACCAAACTCCTCATGAGCTTTATCTCTATCTAGATTACGACAGGGGCCCCATTCCCGATCATAACTTAAAGATGGATTAAGAGAGTAACAAATTCCTTCTCCCCAACGAAAATCTGGACCTTTTAGCACATATCGATGAGCACACGTCTGAGAAAAAGAAAAAGAGTTGAGTTAAAGTTTCAATCTTAGGAATTTGCTGTAATTGTACATAATATATATATATATATTACAGAAGGAGAAACAAGCAAGTCTGTGACCATAATATTATGCCACCTTCTAAGTACTTTTCAACTAGAGCTAAATTTAAGAAAATATAAATTTCATAGATATAGTTTTTTCACAATATAGAAATGTTATTTAATTAGCTTAGTATTACTACAAGTTTTTCATATAACTATCTTTCTAATATTTATCAATCATTTTAAGATACTAGTCAATGAAAGTCCATAAGCAAAAACAAGAATGAAACTTACAACATATTTTAATCCTTGAATGCTATTCTTGAAACATTGGAAGTAACAATAAATAGTAAGGCATATAAGACAGGTTAACATCCCATTAAAATTATTTTAATAGCAAGTTTTTCCTCCTATTCTTAGGGTCATAATCAGGCTATATGAATACTGTATGTAATAGAAATTTTAAAATGATGTAAAAATTGAGAGAGCAGCATGCATGACACATGATCTCAAAGTATCAAAACATGCATATCAACAATAAATCAATACACAGTCCACAAAATCTACAACATGGGAAACATGAAAGTGAGAAAGTATCTTACATATTTATCAAATTTAGTAAAAGCTGAAAAAAGTATGTTACTTTAAAATATTAAAATGCAAATACTATGCACAAGAAACTACAGAGAACAATTTCATTATCTAAAAAAGTATTATACACTATTTCTAGTGCATTGGGGATTGGAAGATAATTCTTTTTGTAAAATTTTCCTAAAAAGTCCATTCCAAATAGGACTAATTTTTGACCCATTGTCTCTATTTATTCTACATCCTGGTTCACTATCTGCTTTCTTTATATGAAAGAATTATTTTATTTTTCTGACTCTTAATTGAGATTAACTTGTCACATTCAAGTTGATATTCCCAAATCCTTGACTGATTATCTATGGGAATTATGTTTTAAGTACTCTATACATCTTACAAGCAGCAGCTGTTCAGTTTATCCTGTATATTCCTTTCTTTCTTTTACACCCACATGTAACTTTGTATGTAATACTTTTTCGGTGTGTGGTTGATGTAAGTGGCTTCATTTTAGATAACATGGAAGGGAATGTTTGTTTACATTGGTGAACAGTTTGATTAAAAGTTGAATATCAGTAAATTATTCTAAAATATGCTTAAGCTTTTATTTTAACAAAGTTTGTTGTTGTGTTGTTTTTATATAGCATGTTTCAATGTAAGATCTTCTAATAACTTCAGAAGGTAATTATTATTTTTCTTGAGACCATCCTTTATTCTTCAAATTAATAACTTGATGTTATACATTCACTACTAGTGGAGTCTACATATTGCATCTTATTGGGTATTTTTTCCCTCTGTATAAATAACTATCCATAAAAGTTTAATCAATCCACTAATTTTCTATGTACGATACACACATTTTCTATACAAAATACAAAGGGAATTCCAAAGTAATTAATAGGAAATAACCATAACAGTTGAGAGTCAGAGTGTCTATTCCGTGACCTTTTACAGAGTGCCATTCAACATGATATTTTGTATTTAATATCAGAGTTGTCAACTGTGCTGTTTAAGTGTCAATTTGTGGTAGAAGAGATTAACTACCAGATACGACATATGCAGATACTGAAAAAAAAACTGTAGATATGCATTTCAGAGGTTTTAAGAGGCTATGTAAATACAATATGCAAACTGTAAGATGAACAAAAATATTTTTATTTTTCACATGAACATCTTACACTCCAACTTGTCTGAATCAGATTTATGGCAGTAATTTTCAGTCATATCTTAAGTACAAATACTTTTGTAAATAAAAATAAAAGAAAAAGATTTTTTTTGTATACAACAGATTCTTATTACCAAAAGTTTTACCAAATTTCACGTAGATAGATACATGTATAAATTCAGAACTATAGTCAACATTAATAATACAATAATATGAGTCACAACAGCTAGGTCAAAGGTCAACAGCACAAGAAAGATCAAATTATTCTTAATAACTGAAGCCTATGAAAGATATTTTAAATTATATCTATAATGCTTATATACAAACAAATTATCTTACGATTCAACTAAGTCATCATATTTTTATGTGATTAATTATATTCCTCACATAACCTTCATCATGCAAGTTTATGTAATTTGAATTTAGGAATGGGGATAGAGGAGCTGTAAGCATTCTATTGCACACCCTTCTCTAAGCATGACTGTTATAACATGTATTGCGATAAAACAATGGCTCACTAGACTCGTATGAGGCAATTTCAAATCCAAGTTCCACTAATCACTATTGATAAGAATGCAACATTTGATTAGTAAGGTCAAAGCTTTTAAAAAATGTAGTTATAGAAGTAAACACTCTTCAAAAATTGTTTTGTGCCAACACATACCATGACATAGCCACCAGGTTTTTGACTTGTAACTGTGACACCAAGCCACTGTCCATTCCTGTCAACATCACTAAATGGAACTAGAAAACAAGACAATATTAATTTTCTTGATATGTTATACACTATACACAAAAACTACAATCTTAACATTTATACATATATTCACAAAACATTGGTATTAAGGTTTACATGAGACAGGGTTTCACTTTGTAAAATAATATAAATGCAAAGCCCCTGTTAACAAAAGTGGGTTTAACTTAACTTGTACTATAATTATGATTTCAAGAGCAATGTTCTAAAACCTTACCTCACATAAATTATCAAAGTACCTTTTTTTTTAAATAGTCATTAAACTAATTCAAAAACATCTTCCCAAGAACTGAAAAAATTAAAATATATTGCCAATTCAAGTTACATGTATTTCTTCTCAAAAAAGTGATACCAGTTTACATTTTTGAATAGCACAAAAATTATTATTTAAGTATACAAGATGTCAGTAAGTTAAAGCGGTGGTTCCTAACCTATGGTACGCATATCCCATGCAGGAAGATATGCAAGAACATTTGAAAAACATTGAAAAGAAAATACACCCACTTCTCAAAACTGGAGAATAGTATCAGTGAATTACCAATGTATTTTACTAACCAGCACTCAATGCTTATGTATTGTTGAGTCACCCTAGAATTATTTCCTTTGATTTATCTTTTTATTGTTAGGTACCCCTCTTAAATGTTTTTTAATAAATTATATGCATCAGGAGTACACTGCAGATTCAAAGGTCTGAAACCACTGAACTAAAGAATACCTCAAATGACTTTAATCAATAGTAATGAGATATATTAAAATGTGAATTTGAAACATTTATCTTTGTGGTATGGTTAGAAAAAGTAAAAAATCATACTTGGCACATGACTGCTATTTATTTATTTCAATCATATGTACAAATATTTGAAAAGTATAATGATTCAAAGCTATCCCTAAATACATGTATTTCTTATTAGTAGCACCATCCAAAAATATCTAATATCAAATTCTCTCAATTCATATTGTAGTTTTAATTTTGGTCCTAAGTTTTACTTATATACTTGTGGCTAGGTTCCTTTCTTGTTTTCTCTGTGGATTGAGAAATCTCCCCATCTGTATCACCAGTACAGCTGGAGAAGCAAGTTCAAGATATCTCAACTGTTACACTAGGAGCCAATCAGTCTCAACTGAGCCATTGTATGGTGTGCGAAGGGGTTGCACCATCTGTTGCAGACTTCAGTAACAAGGCTGAATCCCTGGCAGAGCTACTTCAGGTTTTTTTTTCATCCTTACAACTTAGCTGAGATTATCACCTCCTCCTTGTCAATATTAATAAATATTCAGTAAAAGACATAATGATTCTAATACCCAAACAATATTGCACGGATTCTCTAGAACTTCCTTCCACAAAGTTATATACCATAATATCTGCTGAGGATGCTATGCTAAGTATGCTTTAAGGTGTAAATGTTACAAGTCATTGGTATATGCATTTAAGGTTTTGGGGGTATTGTATATACAAGTCATGAATTCTGTCCAGTATATGGCTCTCTTTCCTACCAGGTCAAAGTGACAATGTGACTCTACTACAATGGCATCCCTAATAAAAGCTGATCAGGTTCCAGGTATACATACCATAGAATCCAATGCTAAGAACATCCATGCTGAGCAGAAAATGCTGTATAATTTGGCTCTGGATCCAGGAATTCTAAGCAGCAACAAAGCAAAATACTTTAATGAAATGATCTGAATCTTTTTTCAGTGAACCTCTGAAAGATACAGGAAAACTTTGCTTCACCTCACCTCTTCTTTCCAAGTATAACAAAGGCAAACGTCTATTGGTATGTCATCCAGTATGAATAACTAGAGTCAGTTAAAAAACTTAATTTAGGAAGGGTAGGAGCAGATGTCATGTGGACCTTTTGCATAGCATATTTTTCATTAAAAAATGTATATGTATATATAACCACTGTGAATCCATTGACACCATGGGCTCATACACAACTGCATACTTTGCCTTTAGGTTAATCCAGTCCTGCATACCACCTGATTGACATAAATTATCCATACACTGCAGTTTACTTCTTTTCACTGCTAAAGGGCCGATATGACTTCAGGAGCTATGGATGTCAACCTATATGGTTTACTGTATAAACCATCCCAAGTGGTTAAAGCTTGGCTCTGGTTTACCCTTTAATGGATGTACTAATCTGTTCAGAGAAGACTGTAACCAGCAATTGCAAATAGACCAGGCTAAGACTCAGTCACCTTCATGAGTGGAAAAAATATGAAACTTTTATACAATAGCAAAAGTGTTGAAGAGCATCCTGTGTTCAACAGAGAACTTCTCTAAGTCAATCAGGGGTCTGCTGATTTCATCTTCAGACGTCCTCAGCTCTCTTCTCTGCCATAAATTTTGTCAGATCACAGAGACATCACTTAGGTATATCTTATATAGAGAAAGAAACATCTTTAGAAGAATTAAAAAAAAGACATAAATTAACAGTTACTTCCACAGTAACTAGATCCTGGTTAGTAGCACCATACTTTTATGTCATTTAAGTTTGTCTGTGATATTCTAAAATTCAAGATGAACTAGGCACACAGTTACCTGATCATCTTAACAACAAGAGGCTTCCTGATATGGTATGTATAAGATCAAGTGTAGTGGAATGAAAAAAACAAGACAGAGTGAAATAGAGACAAATTAAAAAGAAACAACCATACACACTAATTGGATGGACTATTGTCTTGTGGTAAATTACAACAAAATAAACTGATATGAATGAAAAATAAACAATTGTGCATTATGTAGATGAAACAAAATGAATTATCTTCACTTGTAAATAAACTGAAAACTGTTTGACTGACTAATCAGAATATATACATATAAAATTAAAAAGCAGGTGACTACCACAAGACTTCGACTCCAAGTCTTGACGCTTTAAAGACAACTACCTAAAAATGTCAAACTGCTATAACGATCCACATTCTCTCTGTACAAAACACAAAATTATAGCACAAATATTGGAAGGAATTTTTACTCCATGCAACAACCATAAGGTAATTCCACATAAATATGGTAATGCAAAACACAATCAAACTATGCCATGAAACTGTTGATAGCCTCCTTGACCGAATCCTATTACAGAATTAACACCTACTGTTAAGTTAGCAAATGACCTTAACTGGTTGTACCAAAGCTCAAAATTAGAAATATTTCAAAAATTCGGTAAATATGGAAGGCATACCATATGAGAGTGAGTATATGCATAACACTAGAGTAGAAATGGTTGCAATTTGTCATCTCACAATATTTGTTACAAGTGTAAACAATTACTCTATTATATAACTGGCACTAAATTAATTAAATGCAGAGGGATGCAGCTTGGTGGGCTCAAGTCCTTACCTTCCTGCCCTTATGCCCCAAAAGTGCTCTTTTTTTTTCTCTGTCATAAAAATTGTCAACCATTGTAAAAAAACTTTATTCCACATCTTGATTGCTGCAAGTTGTTATGAGGGTGGGGGGGATTTCAGTATTAAAATAAATTGCACAAAGGGACTTACAGGTCTTTATTGTAAAAAAATAATAATTTGGATATGTTATTACATGTTACTACACAATAATTCATTGTTTAGTTTTAAATTGCAAAAGTTTATAAGACCAAATGATCTGGAATAAAAGAAGATCTGTTTGCTTATTTGGTTTTTACCCTAGATGGAAGGCAGCTGGGCATCACCATCCACCACCAACTCTTGGGACCAGCTGAATGAAAAGCTATCTGTGACATTAATATAACATCTGTGTGTCCTAGAGGCAACCTACAGACCCCATAATATCCTCTAACCTACACCTTTCCTCCAAAGGAAAAACAAACGCTTGCCTTACGATGCATGAAAAGTGCTCTTTTTGTAAATGGGCTCCTCTTTCAATGCCCTCTGATTACGGAAGTAGCTGAAATATTTGGTTTGAATTTCGTGCAAAGCTACACGAGGGCTATTTGTGCTAGCCATCCCTAATTTAGCAGTGAAAGACACGAGGAAAGACAGCGGGGCATCACCACCCACCGCCAACTCTTGGGACTAGCTAAATGAAAAGCTATCTGTGACATTCATGTGACATCTCTATATTTCTTAAGTTTCAATATTACAACCCACAATTACGTCAGAGCAAAATTTCTGAACAATAAATAAGTCAATTTTAGCGATACTTGAGAAACTACCAAAATAACTAGGCTAAATTCTATTAAGTCATACAATAAAGTCGTTTGACTATACAATTTAGCAATCAAAAATAAATATAAAAATTGATTGATAGATTATGTCTTTATGAATAATATAATGTCATTAATTATGGGGAATGTCAATTATTAGTTAATGAATAAAAGTCGTTACTGCATAATAGTTAACGCTACTTCTCGGACAAGCTAGCGTCTATTTCCAGTCCATAAATCATACTGCACGACCTGCGTTCCATTCCTGCTCCTGGTGGAAATAATTAGAAATAATTCATACCTGCATAGTTCTGAAGTGTGGGGAATGAAGAATGGACTTCTTACCAATTTGTTTAAATTTAAAGTATCATTACGTTACTTATAGCCACGCTTGATTTTAAGTTAATCAAAAATAGTTTAAAAGTAGAGCGATAACATTCCACAGCACTAATATGAAACCGTATATAAAAAAAACTGTAGTCTTTGAAAAAATTAAAGCATCCACCCATGCAATTAAAAAAAAAGGGTTACAAGTTTGAAAATTAAAAATAATATTAGAAGAACAGATTTTAAAAATCTGTTCAATAACTTTTAATACTCATGAAATGCTTACGGTTGTGATGTCCGGCGTATAATTTGGGCTAAAGTTGAATTCTTCAGTAATTTGATTTTGAATCAATCTCACTATATATAATAAACGTGATTCCTTATCTATGAGTTGTTGTTTTTTTGTTTGTTTTTTGTTGTTTTTTTAATTAATTCCTATATAATATTCTTTTCAGTTGTAAACGTAATGGTCTATTACTTTAGCATTAATATTACGACCTCCCTGTTAAAATTTAAGACGATTTAGAAACCAAAATGCAAAAAAATTTGATCGATCGATACTACCACAAAAAAGTGCGATATCAATTTTCATAAATGTTATTCGTAATAGGTTTTCTAATAATTAGCACGTAGTTTAACGTTTCTTGATTGAGAGAGAGAGAAGAAGAAGAAGAAAAATTCATAACCTCAACAATTTAGGCCGTTAACATCCGGCGCTCTGCAAAGTCCGCTGTCGTAATATTATATAGTCACGCTTGAAATGTTAAATTCTAGGCTATGCTATTTGAATAATCCATAGAGTTCTACCATGAATTCTCAGTAAATTAGGATAACAACAAAGAAATGATAATGAAAAAATTTCCTAAATTGATCATAAACAACAAGTACGTTACTGGATTTAACAGTTTTTGTTGTTTTTTGTTTTTTTTGCCAAAATACAGTTCTTTTTTAATACTATTACATACCTATCCTTTAAAGGTACTTAACAAAACATCTAAACAAACAAAATTAGTATTGGATTGCCACAGTGACGTTACCGTCATTAGGTTCAACATTAATTTGACTACAGTCTTTCCTGTACGTCGTCAAATCGCATTTATATAGAGCTCCTGAGCGGTTTGTTCCTGGTTGTTTCGTCTGTGCAAGGGGTGCTCCAACAAGCAACCTAAAGAATATGAAAATAGTTTATTCTATGGCTAACACGTGAAACTAATGACTTAATTAAGGAAGAGTTATCCTTCGGTCTTCAATGAATAATAACTAGCTTATTAATAATATTATAGTGATTGAATAAACTTCGTAAGCTTAAAGAAAAAAAGACAACGATGCTTCTTCTTCAGCAAATTAAAACGGTACTGTAAAACATAATAAGCATATCTTATAAACATTATGTTATTTTTCAGAATTTGTAAATGCATACTAGATATTTTGTATAAGTCCTGGTGAAGCTGCAATGGTGAAACTTAAGTCGAAATAAAAAAAAACAAGAAACATTTAATCATTTGAAGAATACAGATCATTTATTTTTCTAACTTTTATTGTCGAAAATATCACTTATTTATTTAAAATACTACAAACGAAAAAAATATGCATAAAACACACGCATCTAGAAGCTATATAGATGTTAACATATATCTTTAAAATATTAATTTGTATATACTACTTGTACAAAAGATAATTGTGTGATTTTACACAGTAACTAGGACGTAGGTTGCCTCTCTGAGAGAACTCTGAATTTCGGAGCCGGCGAAGAGTATTATAAATCATGTGATACCACAAATTATTCCCTGCACTTTAAGCTGTGGCTGCGTTATAAAAGTGACAGTCAATCCCTTAGCGTATATAGTGGGTGGTAAGATGCTCCTTACTGGCTGCCTTCTCTCTGGTCAGCAGTTAGTAATTAAGAACGATGGCTCTTGATCACAAAAACCTCGTAAGGTTTGTGTACGTTTCTTGTTGCAAACTTCTCTAAAATTTTCACTGGTTGTTTTTAGGCTTAGATTCTGATTGGCTACATTAGCTGTGTGGCCGGCTTCGAAATCCTTGTTAAGCCCAGTGAGAAGGCTTGGTTTCTCTCGGCCATTTCCGTCGCAGGTATAGAGAAACTGTACAGATAAAAACTTAAAAAAAAGAGCCAAGAAGCACAATTTTTCTGTGCCTCACACCAGAAGAGGGGACAAGAACATTTTTGAGTGTTTTGTTACAAAAATATGCTTTTTCAATAATTTTATACACAAAATAAATAAAATATAGGAATTAATATAAACAATGAGAAATATTTTATTTGTTCAAAATCTTTGAAAAGGCACAGCCTCCTTTTCCTCCTCTGATGAACTGTCACTACCATAAATACAAACACAGACATAGTAACTCTGCTATCTGGTACAAGTGATGGACAGTAAGCTCATGCAATAAGTCAGTTGTATATTAAATTAAGAAATAATAACCAAGAACAAATAATAATAACCTTAATTGACATAAGTTGCTCTTTTAATGAACTGCATTGTGAATTTATGTAATTATTCATTTAGAATGTATGGTATTAGGCTTACATACCTGGCGCTACTATGATCATTCGAAACTAAAAACATTAATAATATAAACAGTTTTGTTTTTATCCATATGTTTGGAGTTCGATTAGAAACATGTAAGTAACGCGTAGATTGAAACTTTTTAAGGAAAAATTGAAGATATGTAAAAAATTATTTCCAAAGTAAACATGATAAAAATACTACTAAGATAAACTATAAATGTATCATTGTGAAACATAAGTACAAATCTTAAAACTTCATTTACAGTGTATTTCAGAAATGTTGGTATTGATATTTTGTATTTACAGCTAAGCTTCTAAAACAATCTGTTACCGTCCCTAATTCTGAACTATCGACAACAAGGAAAACAGCCAGACCGCAGCATAATATCGCCAATTATCCATGCTAAGAGACTGACCGTCATTCTTATAACGCACTCACAGCTTAAAGTGCGGAGAAAATTTTGTGGTATCACATGGATTAGAATCTGGCTCGCCAGCTCCGAAATCCAGAACTCTATCACAGGGTCAACCCGCACTAAAAAAATTCTGAAAAACAATGAGGACATTTTACCTCTCTTATTACTGTATTCATTTATCAAGTTGATCTTACATGTATTCAAATTATATCTATAGAAGACATCTAAAAGGGGGTAAGTCAGTCACTCTTTGGGTCAGCGGTAAGTTTATGGACTTACAAAGCTAAAATCCGGCGTTCAATTCCGCGCTGTGAACAAAGTGAAAATATACCATAGAGTGATTTTGCTCTAAATAACGTCGTAAATCTATATTAAAGCGTTGTGTACATGCCGTCATTTTTTTTACCTTTTTTTTTTTATTTTTTGAATTTCGCGCAAAGCTACACGAGGGCTATCTGCGCTAGCCGTCCCTAATTTAGCAGTGTAAGACTAGAGGGAAGGCAGCTAGTCATCACCACCCACCGCCAACTCTTGGGC